GCAGCAAATGCTGGTGGTCAGTGTTGGGAGTGGCAACAGCCATTGCTCAGATCTTCTCTGCTTCAAATTAGTTCATCTGGGTACCAGGAATTTAGCCCAAGTGCCTGCTGCTCCCTGGTGACTGGTAACCAGGCAACCCTCGCAGCACATTGTTTCATTAAAATCATATTGTGTGTGTGTGTGTGTGTAAATGACTTTACATAACCACAGTTTTAACCTTATATAAACTATTTGACATTTTACAAAAATTTAATGTACTTTCTAGTGATATGGAATATAATAGGGCAGCAACTCCTAATTATGCATTAACTTCCTTTCTTGCTCTTGTCCCCTGACTGCAGGCATCCCTGGAGGCTGCTTTCTCTACCTTCTCTCCCTCAGGGAATTAATCTATTTGTTAGGCTGGAACAACTGTAAAATTCTGTAAAATTAAGCTTAACAGTACAAGCAGAGCCTGGCTTTAAAATGGGCTGTACAATGCCTCCTTTGTCTGCTCCAGAGGGCATTGTGAGGGACGCTCAGTGGGCGGCCGGATACAGTTGTAGGGGCTCTGGCACCAGGCAATTAAGATGAGTCCAAAGGGCTCCGTTTCCCAGTGCTGTGGCCTTGGGCGCATTACCTAACCTCTTTAAGCCTACATTCCTGGTCTATAAAAGAGTGAAAATAACAGGAGTATTGTGAAGATTGATGAAATCACGCAAAAAGCACTTAGTCACTTGGGTTTGTCCTAAGTACCCAGAAGTGCTAGTTATGATGATAATTAGGGCTCTCAGCCACAGCGTAGGTGACAGGGCTTTGAGGGCTATGATGCTGCAGGAGCACGTGGAATCACTTGTATCATTATCATGTGTGCCGCTGAGGACCGTGACCCAAACTGCCTGGTGGATAGAGGGACAACTGGATTGGATTGCTTGTCACCTCTGGCGCTTACCAGTCCCGTGACCTGGGCCAGTCCCTTTTGGAGCCCATTTTCTTATTTGTAAATGAAGCAGTTGGCTTAGATAATCTAGAAGCTCTGTCCCCCGTGAGTCCAAGACTGTGAGAAATCAGGACTTACACAGCAGATCTCACACAGTTCATGGAACAGAGCGGAAGGGTAACACATCAATGCTGAGCAAAGGCCAAACACATCTCTGATTCAACAAAGAAAAAAGCGCCCCCATTGTAGCCGCCAGGAAGAGCCATGGAGAGAAATGCGATGAAAATGACTCCTATGCACCCCAGAAATTTCGGAGGCAGAAGACAGTATCTTGGCCTGTAATGGTAATAGTGAAGAGTCCGACGAAGATCCGGTTATGCCCAGCAGCCGACACTCAGACAGGGGCGTAGGTGCAAACATTCTTCAAACTTGGTTGCTGTTGTTTGGGACTTGGGGCTTTGGGCAGTCCCCTGGTGCTGGCAGCCCTCCCACGCAGCTTGGAGGACTTTGGCGGGGGCGTTTCTGCTGTTTCCTGGGGACTTCCTAGGATCTGGATGAGCTGCTAAACTCTGAGGCCCGTGGAGCGTGGTCTGCGTTCTCACAGACGCGCGACGCCACGGGGCCCGTTTTCCCTGCGAGGAACACACGTTCAAGCACAGTCCTGTATGGCACTCGCACTGTTTATGGATGGTCTAGGACTCTGTGAAAACATAGCTGTCGGTGCATTTGGCTTGCTTCTGCACCCTCAGCCCTCCAGCAGCTTCTGGATGTTAAATATTATCTCTTCCTGTGAGCCTTACCAGAAGGAAAAGTCATCTGTTACTCTTTCACTCCCTTAACGAGCCTCCGCTTGCTTTGCGGGCATCTGCGGGCTGTCCTTTTCCTCCCTGGAGGACTGAGCTGTCCATGCCCAGTTTCTTGGTCTTCCGCTCCTTCGACGCAACCATTAGTCTTCCCATCCCCTTGCAGTTCACTCCCAGAAAAGGTAACACCAGCAACAAGGGCTGCTAGGTTTGGCAAAGTGCTTCACCTCTCGGTATACCTTCATCCCTTCTCAGTGTGCCTGGGAGGCAGCAGGTGGCGTCTTAAGTATGTGGGTCCCTGCCCTATGGGAGAACTAGGCTGGGGGGGTTCTGTGCTCTGGGCTTTGGCTAGGCCCAGGCTAACTTTGACCTGTGAATCCAGTGGAATCTTTCTCTGGGTCTCTGTGTTTAAAAAAAAAATTCCGAACCACCCACCTTCGCTGTTTAAAAAAGTAACCAGAAATAATAGCCACAAGTGGCAGTAAGGGGTGGTGGCAGTAATTCCATGGAGAGGTTAAATTTTTCTTTTGCTACTATAGCAACTACTATCAAATGCCTTGTCATTCACCTTTGCTCTCTGGAAATGTGAAAATTTGTTTGCATCTGAGTGCTTAAATCACCTCTGTTCCCTAAAATACTTTCAACTGCCTCCATCAGGCTTCTTAAAGGGACTTGCGGCATTTTCTCCAGGAATTTCCGTCAACGTAGGACACAATATTGACAGATTTTTCCAGACTCACTGTTTTTCACATTTCCTGAGAATGACAAGGATATTATGAAAATCATAACAGGAAAAATTTCCATAAAAACAGTTAATTAACAATAAAAGACTTGGTGCTTTAAAGATGCTTCAAATTACCTGGAGAATTGAAACCACATATCCGAGTGCTTGTTCAACGCTTTGTTAGATAAGTAGCTATTAGCTGCCTGACACTGTCACGCACGGTGCAGACTGTGAATGCCGAGATGAGCAGCTTAGCAGCTGCTTGCGACGAGCTCAATCACAAGTTGCTCACGGAGCTGAGTGCCTGCGCAGCACGCTAAGCCACCGCCAGCAATCCTGCATCCTCTTGAGTATGGACCTGTGTCCCAGCAGCTCCACTTCCGATTCAGCTCCCATCAATGCATCTGGGAACGCCGCAGAAGAGGGCCCGAGTGCTTATCCAGCCAGCCATGTGGGAGACCCCAGGTGGAGTTGCTGCCCCCGCTTTGGCCTGGCTCAGGCCTGGCTATTGTAGGTATCCGCGGAGTGAATGAGCAGAAGGAAGATCTGTCTCTCCTTCTTCCCAGGAAATTCTGCCTTTCAAATAAATAATTTAAAAAAACGTGTCTGGTTTCTGCTTTGCTCGTACTGATATCTTTAGGTCATGCATCTCAGTATTTTCTAGGATGCTTACCTCATGGAATAACTCATTTCCCTTTTAGATCAGTCCTAATTTCATACTAGTCAAACCTGACGTTTCTGGCTGCCCGTGTCTGGCAGCTCGAATGTCCATTCTGATTATGGTGGTGCTGGGGCTCCCCCACGGTTCCTGCTCTCACTGCAAAGCCTTGCAGCTTTCCCACCGAAGCCCACTTAGGGCATCGTGTCAGGAGCTCATGCTGACTTCATTTTAGCTTATTCCATTTCTGGTCATGCCTTCCAGGTCGTTTGCTAGCTTGGCATATTGTTTCTGTCCTAGAATAGAGGGTCCAGTGGGATAGCTCAATGGCTAAATCCTTACCTTGCAAGTGCTGTATGGGTACCGCTTCATCTCCTGGCTGTCCCACTTCCCATCCGGCTCCCTGCTTGTGACCTGAGAAAGCAGTGGAGGACGGCCCAAAGCCTTGGGACCCTGCACATACTGGAGACACCCAGAGAAGGTTACTGGCTCCTGGCTTCAGATAGACTCAGCTCTAGCTGTTGGGGAATTTAGGGGGTGAACCAGTGGATGGAAGGTCTTTTTTCTGTTTCTCCTTGTCTCTGTAAATCTGATCTGCCTTTCCAATAGAATGATTTTTTTTTTTTTTTTTTTAAGATAGAGGGGGTGTGGTGGCACAGAGGGCTAAGTGTCCCTTGGAATGTTGGCTGGTTAACTCCTTGCTAATGGCAGCCGAGGATGCTTGGGGCAGTTCCTGGCTCCTGGCACTGGCCAGGTTAGGCTGCTGCTGCCATTTCGAAAATAAACGAGCAGATAGAAAATGAATCTCTTTGTCACTCTGCCTGTCACGTAAATAAATATAAATTTTCCCAAAGAAGCAGCATAGAGCAGCCTGGGGATTATCCTCCCTGTGGGCTCTCTTTAAGGAAGTGCTCATTTAGGAGGCGGCCAAGAGCCGTCAAGAACCCACATCAAAGCCACATCCACAGGCGGGAGGGCTGGACCCCGAGCAGCAGAGCAGCATCCTGCTGGAGATAACCTCAGACATCACGCCGTCTTTAAGTGCTACCTGTCGCTGAATCATGCCGCCTCTTAGAATGCTGGCAACATCTGGTCAGTGTTGCAACAGGCGTCTGCTGCAATACTTCCCAGATGACATTACTGTTGGCCGTTCCAGCGCATGCATGCGCATCCTGGAATTATGTGGTCATTGAGTCAACATTTCCCAGGTCATCTGCTAAGTGCCAGGCATGAGACTGTCATTGAGAACATGAAAACCAGCAGGTTCTGGTCTGACTCCGGTTTGTGTGACATCTTCAGCATCGCCTCACTAGTGATGGCACAGGGTTAGCATAAATGATCCTGCTCATGTGAGGTCACTGGGACACGAATTGAACTCCAGCAAGGTGTCTCAATGCAGACATTAAAGCTTTCTGTATGGGCTGGGGCAGTGGCGGTTCAAATTAACCCTCTGCTGCACTTCCTCCGACCCTGCTCCCTGCTTATGGTCCGGGAAAGCAGTGGAGGATGGCTCAAGTCTTTGGGCACTTGTACCCACCTGGAAGACCTTGCAGACGCTCCAGGCTTCGGATCAGCTCAGTTCTGGCCACTGCGGCCATCTGGGGAGTGAACCCTCTCACCTAGGATTTAGCACGTACATCGTTTGTCTGACCAGTGGGCTCCACGTCCGGGGACTCCGGTGGGGAGTCAGGTAGCTCGGGGTGCACGCCCCTGCGCCAGGCCCTGCCCGGGTGGCCCTGCGCCAGGTTCGGGGAGTTGCCCCGGTGCTCCCAGTCGCTCCCGGCCGCCCCGCCCGGCGGCCCGCGGGCCCGGTAGCCTTCCCGCCCTCCCCGGGGCGTGACCCGCGCTGTCCGGCCCTTCCGGCCACACTGACCACGCCCCCGGCGACCCAGGGCCATGGCGGCGGTGGTGTGCAGACGGTGCCTTTCCCGGACATGGCTAAGCAGGTGCAGCTTCCACTCTGCCCAGAGTGCCCCAAGGCAGCCTGCCCTGTGCCGGGAAGGACAACCCGAGTGACCCCGGCCCCTGTTTCCCGTTGCAGGACAGCCGGGCAGGCTGTGGGACGGCACTACCGCGCCGCGGTTTGCGCCGAGCTGAAGCAGCCCCTGGCCATTAAAGAGGTGGCACCTCGCCCCGTCCGTCCTCACGAGGTAGGGTGATTGTATCCCATGCACCCCCACTTTTCTCTCCAAGTCTGCTTCACCCTACGCAGCCCGCTGACTTCCTTCCTGAATCATGTTCGCAGTTCTCAAGCTAGGGGCCGACCCGAAGACTGGGGCACCCGTTAGGTCCAGGTTGGGAAGCCAGTGTCCCCTTAGGGTTCGCAAAAAGCTCAAGAATACCGGTGTGTCCCCCCTTCCTTCCCCCCCAAACACACTTGTAGGCGTCCTTCTGAAAGCTCCAGATCGGTTGCCTTAGAAACAGGGACCTGCCATTTGCACGTGACTCGGCAGAAACCCCTGCAGACAAATGGACCCTGCACCTGCCGCCAGACAGCCCCCTTCGCACGGGAAGCACAGGTGGTGCCATGGGAAAGGGTGAGCTTGGGACAACGAGTGAGCCACCCCCCCCCCCAAAGTCATCATCTCTGAAGCTGGAGCCTCGGTGCTGGGGGCCACAGGTGGGAGGCAGAGTCACAGCTTGTCCTGAAGCAGGAACTGCAGTGACACTGTCTCTGGGGTTGCTGAGCGCTTGGCAGTGCGGCTACCTCCTGGGGGGAGCGTGCTGAAAGACATTCCCTACACTTGTCACCAACTCCTGTGCCACACACAAAACACGCACAGCCGAGGGCTGTGTCTGTCTTTCCTGCTTTGTCCAGACGTGGCCGTCCAGGGAGAGAGTTCTGGATGGCTCTGGCTTTGTGAATTTCTTTTGAGAACCTTATATCCTGCAGTTGGGATGTTGCCTGGCATGTGGCACATGCTTCAGCAATTGTTTGGAGGAATGAATTGTGCAGATGAAAATGTCTTTCCAGTGACACACAGTCTGTACTCAAGCTAAGCAACAGATATGGCTCCTCATCGTGATCCCCGCCTCAGAGGGGCAGCCGGACCACTACAGCCATAGTTTGTGTAGATGTACTGGTGTCCACCAGGCCTGATCACCTCGGTCTCTGGGCTCTGTGCCCAGAGTTGGTGATTCAGCAGGTCTGGTTTGAATCTGGGCCGGTTGGCCCGGTGTTACTGATCCTGGTGGGCCGGGACTGTAGCATTGGATCCTGTGCACCTGCTGCTTTGGGGTAAGCAGTAGTAGCACGGCCGTGGGACACAGAGGCAGGGATCGGGGGGGGGCCCCCAGCCTGCTCCCCTCTGATGCCCGCTGATGGCTTCGCCTTGCAGCCCGTGTGCAGGCCAGGATCTTGGGGGTGGGACACATGCTGGCTGCTGTGGCCCCCAGGCAGGTTCCCTGACACCTTCTCTGTGCTTCGGCTCCCTGCTGCAGGGAAACCTGGCGTAAACCTTTACCTTTCTATTTTGAATAGTGAACTTTTAATTGTTATCAGTTCAAGTGTTACATTTCCTCTTTTTTTAATTAGATGGGATATGTTTTGTTTGTAAATAGTGATCTTCCAATCTGTGTCTACAGATTTCCAAAGCTATAATACTCTGTATACTTCAAAAGCATTTTTTGTTTACTTTTATCAACATTAGACACTATTGTGCAGAACAAAAAAAAAAAAAAACCAACAAAAACCCAATAAGACAAAGACTGGTAAAACGTCAAGATGTTGTACAGGGTTCTTAGCTTTTTAAACTTCTCCAAAGAGGAGGTCAGTCCCCCCGTGGTGTGCCTCTGCGGCACTGCTCCTGTCTGACACTCCGTGCTGCAGTTGTAGCTTAATGCGTGCCTCTGCATTAGTGCTTGGTTACCGTCTGCGTGCTGTCCCATGCGCGAGGGCAGACGCCCTGTGTACATGTTTTGGGTTCGTGGGATGAACTCTGTCTCCATGGATGCAGACCGCTCGGCTGGGATGCTGTGCTTCCTTTGCAGGTCAGAGTGGATGTCCATTTCTGTGGGGTTAACTTTGCTGATCTCTTGGTCTGCCGGGGTCAGTATCAGAAAAAGCCCCCTGTTCCCTTCACACCCGGTGAGTACAGGGATGCCCAGTGAGCCGCAGCGGGAACAGGGCAGCTGGGGGTTTCCATGAGCGTGCTCTTCCTCTCAGCACCTGCGCACCTGCGATGCTTCCACTTGATATGTTGATCTCTTAATTAGAATTTCTGGACTGTGAATTCTTTGAGGTCCGTCCTCTGCCTGCCTTGCAGAGCCCTAAAGCCCTGCAGCTTGCGCTTGTTTCCAGATTGTGGGAGACGCATGGCGAGTCTTTTCAGAATGTGCACCAGAATTCTCTCCATCGCAATCACCACTGGCCCTCATCACCTGCTTACATTCCTTGATGCTGTCTTAATTTTGTTTTTTCACTGAGGGATCGCAAACATCTGTTACCAGCTAGAGCTTCCAGCCTCCTAATACGTTCTACAAGAGGCCCTGATGCCAGAGGAGCTGAAGAAGAAAAGGAATTTCTCAGCAGCCGGCTGTTTCATTTTCATTATGTTCAATCTGATGACTTGTAGTTCCCAACTAGACAGACTAACGACTGGCTTGAACTTTGCTCGATAAGATAGAAATATAGCTTAGTGTGTACATTCCTTTCATATAAATATGTATACAGCATATTTTATATAAGTGTATATGTATATGTGTGTGTATATATATATATACATACACACAATGATTGTGAAAGCATTGCTGTGTTTTGATCTTAGGGTGTTGAGTTGTGTCTCAGTGGAAGGAACCATGTCTTTCTGACTGCATTGGCTGAAATGCTGGATAGCTGGAAGCTGTCATACGCAGCTCAGTTCTTCTTGCCCCTGGCAGCTCTAGAGGAAATGATGGTCACTACCTTTGGCAGGGTGGGAGGTGTAAGAGGAGAGGGCCAGCAACACAGCAGAGGGCCTCACGGGCCAGCAGAGGAGATGTGGGAATGAAATACGGTGTGGTGAATGTGGGAATTGGGGTGCCGGAGGGGTCCCAGTCTCAGTGATGGGGCAAAGGCGCCCTTGGGCCCTTGGGTTTCTTGGGGCTCTGTCGCCGAGGATGGGTCTGCGGTAGCTTTGCAGGGTGTGCCGCTGTGCTTTGGGTACCAGGCCCTCACACTCCTGGCGAGCTGTGTGTATGTGTGTGGGGTAGAGATTAGGGGCGGGAGAGAGGGGATGATTGGCACCCAAACCGTCCAAGTTCCAAAAGGCGGATGGGCTGGCATGCTGGCCAGTCTTCTTGACTGCACGATGCTGGGCTTTCCGGAAGCCTGACTTTAAACCATCTGTTTTAGGGTTGGAGTTTTCTGGGACGGTGTTGGAGACAGGCCCAGATGTTAGCTCCGTCAAGGAGGTAAATGAGCTGTGATCTAAGGTGGCTCTGGGAAATGTGCTCACCTCACCTGCAGCCCAGAGCTCTTGCCTCCCATGGCCATGGCCAGCAGACACCAAACGGCAAGCCAGGAGGAAGGGGAAGAAACGAATTCTGAACTGGGGTGGGAGGAGGGATCTGGTGCAAGTGCCTGGCTTCATTCTACTTATTATGAATAAAAGCACCTTGATCTAGTTGCCAAGAAGATAGAGAATTCTCGAGGCTGAGCACCTTGTGAAAGAAATGAACACTAGGATGCTAATTCCTATCAACCTGTATGCTGGCTTGTACTCTCAGCTGTGCTCTGATTGGCACGACAGCCTGCTGTCTAATTTACTGAGCACTGACTCCTAATGGAAAGAAAGACCAAATTCATCTTGTGCTGGGACAGAGATGTGTCTTTGGTTTCTTTTTTGATTAGTTTGGGAAGAGGGCAATGCAAGGCCATGCATTTAAATGCATCTTCAATGCTGCTTCTCCTCCAGGGCGATCGAGTTATCGGCACGACTAACTTTAACGCAATGGCTGAAGAATGCATCACTGACCAGAAGGTACTGCTTCCTCTAACGCTTGGAGCGGCTCTCTCTTTAAAGCCACCCCCTTCCCCCAGATCCCGATCCCTCCTTCTCTCCCTGTTTGTGTTTTCCTGGCTGTATCTTATTTCTCATTCATGCATTTCTTGATGCGAGTCCTCTGGTTCCGGTGTGACAGCGTCGCATAGAGCTTTGTTGAGTTCTTGAATGAGAAGGGGCATTTGCCCTTCTCAGTCCCCGACCAGCTAGCCGGCCTTCCAGTCGGCCTATAGATCAGTACTTTTGGTAGAAAAACTGGTTTGAGGGCAGTGAGCTGGACGTAATAGGCTTTTCTCCCACACAGTTTGTGAAAGAGATAGCCCTGGGAATAGAGCCAGCTGGGGTGGGGACTGGCATGGATGTGGAAGATGTGACTGGCTCCCCCTCGTGGTCCACAGTTCACCTTCCCCACCCCATCTCACAACTATATGGAGGTAAAATTCACTTACCACACAGCTTGAAGTGGTTTACTACAGCTGAGTCAGCGCTCGGAGTTTTGAGCTCCTGAGCTCCACTGTGGCCTGCTCGGCTTTCCCTTTCCCTGGGCTTGGCTGCAGACAGGTGCTCCCTTCCTAATCTGCCACTCAGCCCCTCTTCCTCTGAGCGGCCTCTGTGGCCAGGTTCCTGTGCTTCGTGCCTCAGGCACTGCCATCTCTTTTTGTAGACCGTGTGGAAAGTTCCAGAAAAGGTCTCCCTACAAGAAGCTGCTGTTTTGCCTGTATCTTATGGCACTGCTCTTTTGGCTCTGGAACATCGGGTCCGGATCCAGCCCGGGTCAGTAAGCGCTGTGTGGACAGGAGGGGGGCCGGGCTCCTTCCCTGATCGGGACCACCGAGCATCCTTCAGTTCATGTTCACTTTGGCCGAGGCAAGGACCAAGGGCAGAGCCACACATGCTGCCTGTTGCTCCCTCCTAGAGCTGAGCGTCCGAGAGCCCCGCCTGTGAGTGTGGCTGACCAGGGGTCCTCACTTGGTCACCTGCTACACGGGTCAGTGTGTAAGCCTGAACATGACATTAGAACTTCCGAGCTTAAAGTGGGTTGGCGGCAGAAAGGAGCACCGACTCCTAATGGAAAGAAAGACCATTAGGAGGTTAGGGCACCGACACAAGTGAAGGATCCATTCCTGGGACGTATCTAGTACTGGACCCTGTTGGGACTGGGGGAGCCTCACCAGCCCAGCCCTAAAGGCTGCGTGGCTGACGCTCCTCCAGCTTGCACGAGGTGACCTCCGACGTCCCGAGTCGGTGAGATCCGAGGTTTCGGGACCAGCACCCCTCTTTCTCCGGCACAGGGAGACTGTCCTGGTGACAGCGGCGGCTGGGGCCACAGGCCTGGCGGTGATCGATGTGGCGACGAATGTTCTGCAGGCCAAGGTATTCGCGTGTGGGAGTCTCTACCTGAAACCTCATTCCTGGCATTTCCAAGGTGGTTGTGTGCGCCTGCACCGGCAGGGACACCTGCACCGGCAGGGACACCTGCACCCTGCTTGCTCGTGCTCTCCCTAACCAGGGTTTGACAGGTCTGGCCCACTCCAGCGCCACAGCAGCTGCTGTCTGTCTTTGATCTTTTCCCCTCTGCATTTGACATTTAAACTCCAATGGTATTTTTTTTCCCAGAAGTATCCTCTACCCTTCAGGCTAGGTCAGTCTTCTGTCCCTTTTCTTACGTGTGATCTCATGGAGTCCCACACTGCCTGTTCACACCGCACCCCGGGGTGTGTGGCTCCTGCTTGCCTGTGTCAATGTGCCTCTCCCTTCCCGACCTTACTGTAATCCCCATGCAGGCAGGTACATGTCCCAATATAGCAGGCATCGAGGAGTTCTCGTTATATACAGGCTGCCCATTATAGGGGCATTGAAGAACTACTTCATGAATTAACAGGTAATGAATTAGGATTATCACCCTGAGGCCAAGGCGGTGAGAGAAGGGGGCCTTCTTGGAGAAGGTTGACTTCCTAGATAAGGTAGACACTTCCGGCAACTTTGGGAAGACTGGTGGCGACTGAACTGGAGGAGGTGCGAAGGCTGTGCTGGAGGTCGGAGCCTGGGTTAGGAGGCGGAGAAGTAAGGACAGCATGGCGTTTAGCTTGGAGCTGCAGAGAGCATCTCTGTGACAGCACAGCCGGAGGTGAAGCTAGAGAGGTGAGCGGGAATGCGGAGCCGGAAGGCGCGGACATCTGCTGGGGCTGACAGCGACTGAGAATTCCAGTTTGGGAGGAGACTGATCATCTTTATCTTTCCACACCTTCCCAGGTAGCTGCGGGGGGTGGGGGGGGGTGGGGCTGGGGAGGGCTGGGTCAGGGAGGCTCAAGCCAGAGGTGATGGGGCTTGAAGCCAAGGCATGCAGGTGATGAACGGAGAGGGAAAAAAGTGAAAAACACCCCCAAAATGAAGAACTTAGTGACAGCCAGCACTGTGCGGCGTGGACTGTGCCCCTGAGGGCACCGGGTTTCTCATTTACGAATGAGCGCTGCAGCTGCTGGGGCTTTCTGAGACTGCGTGTGCGCTGGGCCTGTGGAGGGTGCGGCGTGTCAGGGAGGAGCTGCGCACAGAATTCCGTTATTATTAGACACGCAGTAGGAAGGAGAAACTGGGTTAGCTTGTGGAGTTGTCGTTGGTCATGATGGGGGCACAGGGGAAATGCCGCGAGTTCAGCTCTGGACAGGCTGGGGGGGGCCCTGAGAAGGCGAGTACAAGCTGGGGGGAGGCCACTGGGGGCAGCGGGAACACTGAGAAGGCGAGGACAGGCTGGGGGGAGGCCACTGGGGGCAGCGGGAGCACTGAGAAGGCGAGGACAGGCTGGGGGGGGCTGCTGGGGAACCTGTGGTGGGGTGCCCTGAGAAGGCGAGGACAGGCTGGGGGGCTGCTGGGGAACCCGTGGCGGGGGGCCCTGAGAAGGTTACTGGAGATAATTGGGTCGGTCTGGAAATCCTTCAGGAGGCATGGCTGTGTTCATACTTTAGGTTCCTCCTGGGAAGGCTGTGTGAGTTCTGAAAGCAGTCTTCTCGATGCGGAGGCTCCGTGTGGAATACTAACACATTTCATGTGAAAAAAGAGGTCTTGTGGCTTTTCTCACGAGGTGAGAACTAAGCAGGCTCATTTTCTGCAGCCACTGACCGCCTAACATTTCCAGGGAGATAGTTACAGTATCTGCTATAAATGGGTGGAAGAGGTTAAAGACAAGAATTCACTTCCCATATTCAAAGTCATCTGAGCTGGAGTGGGGGCATTCAGGACTGGGGGCTGATACATTAAGGAAGAAAGAAGGCAAAGGCTGTTTCAGTGTGGGAGAGAGGGCACCCCTAAATTCCGCCGTGGAGTGCACGGTGGTTCGTGCCTCTGGCCGCTGAGCTCAGCCTCCCGCAGCAGCTCTGAGAGGCAGCAGGTTGGGGGTTCCTGTGTTCCTGCATTCCTCCCACCTCTGGATTGATTTCCTGGCTCCTGGTTTCTCCCTGTAGGCACTGGGGTGCAGAGCCAGCAGGATGAGAGCTCTCTCTCTCTTTCTCGCTCTCAAAAATTGTGTTTTCTTTAGCAGCAGTAATGGAAACATGAGAGAGAAAAAATAAAAATAGTGTCGTTACCATGCCACCTACTTGGAGTTTAAGACATTTTGATAACATTTGCTATTGTTTTCCCAAGTGCTCCCACAGCAGTTATTTCACCCTTGCTCCTGGGAGATGGAGGGCACAAGTGCTTATTATCCCTAGTTCCCGGGTTAGGAAGGCGAGGTGCTGTGACCTAGTGCGGGGAGTGAAGTTAGGGGCCTGGCCCCAGTCCGGTGTCCCATAGTGCTGCGTGGCAATGGGCCTCCCCAATCTGCAGCTGACTGAGGAGTCCACCCAGCAGCCTATGAGGGTGGCTCTGTTTCCAGTGTTATAAGTCAGTGAGGAATCCTTTAAGAGCACTGATGTTCTTAGGGGCACTTGAGTGGAAGTTCTGAGCATCACCTTGGACCACAGTATTGGAGCTGGTGGGTGCCCAGTGGTGAGGTGGCACTGGGCTGTCTGCACCTGTTTCTGAGCCTTCCAAACCCCACATTTCCCCACAGGTAGGCCATGTGTGTGGAGGCTTAGATATGGTTTTCTTCTGCAGTGATGATGGAGCAGAAGAGAACAGGCTTTGGAAAGAGGAAGTGTAAGGTTGGCACAGCTGTCCTAGCAGCTACTCTCTGGATGACCCTGGCTGAGGACTTGGCCTGTGAGTCTGTCTCCATCTGTAGAATGGGAACAAGGATATCTGCTCTACAGTGTTCTTCTGGTTTCAGCTTATTTATTTATTTATTTATTTATTTATTTATTTATTTATTTATTTATTCCTTCTGAGTACTGTGACTTAAGGGAATGTCCCAAAGTTGCAGGAAGAACTTTATATATATATAAACAAACCATATATATATGGTAAAGTAACAGAGGAAAAAGGTGAGGTAGAAAGGTCTTCCACTTGCTGCTTCATTTCCCCAGATGGTTGCAACAGGCAGAACAAGGCCAGGCTGAAGCCAGGAACTTCTTCTGGGTCTCCCATGTGCATGCAAGGGCCCATGCCCTGGGCCTAGCCTCTGCTGCTTTCCCGGGTGCATTAGTGGGAAGCTGGATTGGAAGTGGAGCAGCCAGGACATGAACTGGTGCCTGGATGGTGCCGTCGGTGCTTTCCTTTTCCAATGAGATAATTGAGACTTTGAGAAGTAGACAGCTACTATTGCAAGTGTACACTCTGGAAATAGGTTATTTGGATTTGGATACCACCGGTGCCCCCGTTAGCTATTTGGCCTTCTTCAGGAAAGATACTTAACTTCTTCTGCTTTGTTTTTCTCCTTTTTTTTTTTTTTTAAAAAAAAAATGGTTACTTTATTTACTTAAAAGCCAGAATTACAGAGAAAGAGACAGGCAGAAAGAGAGAGACAGAGAGATCTTCCATCTGCTGATTTGCTCCCCAAATGGCTGCAGTGACCGATTGGCCTTGGTTTCTTTATCAATACAATGTATATGTTGAAAGTATGCTTTGGCGCAGCACGTTAGGCCACCATTTGGGGTGCCTGCCTACTGTCCAGAGTGTGGGTTTGAATCCTGGAAGCTCTTCTTCCAGTCCAGTTGCTTGCCAGCACACCTGGGAAGCAGAAGATGCTGGCCCCAGTTCTTGGATCCCTGCCACCCACACAAGCAGGCAGGAGGAGTTCCTGGCCCTGGCTTTGGCTTGGCTCAACCTGGGCTGTTGTAGGAATTTGGGAAGTGAATCAGCAGGTGGATGATGTTTCTCTCTCTTCCTCTCACTCCATTTCTCCATCATTTTATGTTTCAGATCTCTAGGCAATAGTACTGTATTTCACTGGGCTGCTGTGATTACATGGGTTTTTAATATACCCTGGGTATTTAGGATGGGATCCGACAAGCAGTGCTAGAAAGTATTAGTTCTTACCCAGTAGTCTGCCTAAGGTAACACGGCTAGTAAGCGACACAGCCAGGATGTGAGCTCACCCGTCCAACTGCGCAGTCTTGCACTGGCTCATGCTTTCCCTTTGGGGATCCTGTTCTGCGCTCTCTGTCTGGACTGGCGCCCCCGGGAGCCCTCTTTGCTTGTTCCATCACTCTGCTCCGTCTTGCTGTCTTCACCTTTACCTTCCCAGCTGGCTTGTGTCCTCACTGCTGAACTCAGAGTAGGCGCTGGAGAGATGCTGGTTTCCAGTTGCATTTGGAGGAAGCTTTCTGTGTGCCTTTTCAACCATATCCTAGCTAGATCTGCTCGGGATTCTGGTAGTCCTGTCCAGGTGGGCCTCATGGCCCATGAGGCATGGAGAGAATGGGTGTGGGGAACGGGCTGACACCAAGCCAGCAAGGTCATGTGGTTGCTTTGAGGCACACCTATTGGTTGCAGACTGGAAGGCAGGGAGATGCCCTCTGGGGACACCACGCAGACATTTGGAAGCCTTATTTTTTTTTTACAGGTCATTGCTGCAGCCGGAAGTGACGAGAAGTGCAAGCTGGCGATGCAGAGGGGTGCCCAGTTCAGTGTGAACTACACTGAGGGCAGCCTGAGAGAGGCAGTGAAAAAACTTGTGGGGGACCGCGGGGTGCACGCGGCCATCGACATGGTGGGGGGAGAGGTCTTCCTGCAGGCCCTGCGCAGGTGCGTGCAGCGGTTGGCCAGCGTGGGTTGGTGGCTGGGGCTCTGCCTGCCTCCCGGGCCTGCCTCCTTTCTCTTCTCTGCTGTTCACTTCTCCTGTCGGCATCAGCATCAACGGGAACAGCTGAGTGGGTGGGTGAAAAGGAATAGCAGCAGAGAAAATCAGGAAATGCTTAAATATAGCAAAAACAAAATACCCAACTGGAAACTGTCCAAAAAATGACTGCCGGCTTTAGCTGGCAATGTCAAATGCATGTGTTAAATTCAGCTCTGCCGGCCCCCGTGACTACTTTATATACATGGATGTGGGGGCCTCACGGGCAGATCATTGTTCAGCTGTCAGGACTGGGGGGGCAGTTCCCCTCTCCCCAGTTCTGTTCTCAGGCACTGGCTCCTCTGATCTGCTGCCTTCCCAGGCAGTCCGCTGTGTAGTTGCTTCCTTGATTTGTTTTATTGAAACAGAAATAACTGGTGATTTACTGGGACTCTTGCATCACACTGATCCTCATTTTGCTTTTTTTTTTTAAAAAAATGACTATTTATTTTCCTTCTATTTGAAAGGTAGAGAGATGGAGATGGAGCGAGAGAAAGGGGTCACTCGCTGCCCATTCTCCCAGGACACTGAATAGTCAGGGCTGGGCCAGGCTGAAATTGGGAGTCAGGAACTCTGGGTCTCCCATGGGGCGAGTCTCAGGAACTCAGCTTGAGCTGCGCTGGGTGCTGCTTCCCGGGCTGGGATGTAGCAGGAAGCCGAGTCAGACCAAGGAGCCGGGATGTGAGCCGTGCACTGCAGAGTGACATGCAGACAGCTCAATGCGTGACCCACTGGGCCCAACCCCACGCTGCTCAGTCTGTGTTTTAAGCAGGGATTCTGGGATGTTCTGACTTCACCTGCATCCTGTATCCTGGCTAGTGGTATCGGGTGGGTTATGCCCCCCTGTGCAGAGAGCAGCTGTCCCACAGAAGGGCTTGGCTTTCAGGGACCCTGAGCTGAGGACAGGCGGTGTTGATGTTTGGCCACTGCTGCGTTGTACACGGGAGACGTGGGGGAAGGGGCTGTGGGCCAAGGGGGCAGCCAGGCCGGAGGGGTGTTGGACTTCACCCTTCTCTTGTCTTCCTGATAACTGTGTTTGGAAAACAACCATCTCTCATTTGTATTCTAAACAAAAAAGGCATGAAGTAAAAGAAAACAAACAAAAAACCCAGCCACACATACAGGTATTTTCTATCAAATATATTTATCAAATTATTCTTATAACTCGTCGCTCAGCGTGGCCTGTGCTGTGTTCTTTAGAAAGGGTTGCAGACATCTTGTGAGTTTTGTAGATGACGATTCAGGATTCTTGAAGGATGCGCAATGACAGGAATTCTAAAGCAAGTCTTTGTCTCAAGCAGATGATCCTTCCTTAACACACGCGTCTGTCTGGTTCTTTCTTCTCAAGTTCCAAACCTTCCAACTCTGAGTTGTGAAACACCATGTATGGAATGCTACGTGTTCACACCCAGTTTCCTTCTGCGAAGTGCTTAAGGCCGTTCAGTAGTCTTGGCTCTCAAGGGGGTCCCCTGTTAACACTTCTGCCAGTTCCTTGGGCTCCCTGATACCTTGTATGATTCTTAAGGACAGTTGGTCTTGCCAGTTTGTAATATCAAACTCAGTTCCCAGCTGTGGGGTTACCGTACGTTTCTTTTGACAAGCTGCTGTGAGCATGCTCAACATGCGCGTGGGCGTACGAGCCAGAGCCGCCACACCAACTCCCGGTGTGTCATCTTAACTCGCGCGTGGGCGTACGAGCCAGAGCCGCCACACCAGCTCCCGGTGTGTCATCTTAACACGCGTGGGCGTACGAGCCAGAGCCGCCACACCAGCTCCCGGTGTGTCATCTCAACACGCGCGTGGGCGTACGAGCCAGAGCCGCCACACCAGCTCCCGGTGTGTCATCTTAACACGCGCGTGGGCGTACGAGCCAGAGCCGCCACACCAGCTCCCGGTGTGTCATCTTAACACGCGTGGGCGTACGAGCCAGAGCCGCCACACCAGCTCCCAGCTCCCGGTGTGTCATCTTAACACGCGCGTGGGCGTACGAGCCAGAGCCGCCACACCAGCTCCCGGTGTGTCATCTTAACTCGCGCGTGGGCGTACGAGCCAGAGCCGCCACACCAGCTCCCGGTGTGTCATCTTAACACGCGCGTGGGCGTACGAGCCAGAGCCGCCACACCAGCTCCCGGTGTGTCATCTTAACTCGCGCGTGGGCGTACGAGCCAGAGCCGCCACACCAGCTCCCGGTGTGTCATCTTAACTCGCGCGTGGGCGTACGAGCCAGAGCCGCCACACCAGCTCCCGGTGTGTCATCTTAACACGCGCGTGGGCGTACGAGCCAGAGCCGCCACGCCAGCTCCAGAAGCTGTGTGGCCATCTCTGAGAGCAGCTCCGTCCGCTGCGGGCAGTGAGGCCCTCGCTCCTCTGGCCCTGCTGGCCCCCACGCTGCGCTCCACTGTATGAAGGGCTTTTTGAAAAAAAAAATCTGCTTTTAAAGTTGTGGTTAAAGGCACATCATATGAAATTTACCATCTTCTCCATTTTAAATGTGCACCTCAGTGGCTGTGCAAAGACCGTCTTTCATGTCCATCAACCCTCTTTCCTTGCTCCCTAGTTCCCAATAGCAAACCTTCTGTAGTCCTTTTCCATACATTCACTACCGTAGATGCTTTATGTAAGTGAATTATTTTTGTCCTAAGTATTTGTCTTTTAGTGACTGGTTTCTTTCACTTGGCAGAATCTATGTCCTCAAACTTTGTCTACATTATTGCATAAGTCAGATTTTCCATCCTTCTTCAGGCTGCACAGTATCCCGTTCTATGTATAATTCACATGCTGTTTGAGTGTTGCCGGACACTTGAATTGCTTCTACTGCTTCTATTGCTTCTACTGTGGTGAATATGATAATATGGTTGTGCAAACACCTTTTTAGGTCTCTGCCTTTGGGGTGGGCAGTGGACACAATGGGTTAAATGTGGGACCCCGCATTTCCTATTGGAGTGCGTGAGGCTGCGGCCCCCTCAGCTTCTGATTTAGGTTCTCGCTAGAGCGCCTGAGCGACTGCAGAGAATGGTCCAGCACTGGGTTGCTGAGGTTCCCCTGGGGAGCCAGGTGAGGGTCCTGGCTCCTGGTTCGGTCTGCACACGTCCCAGCTGCGGTGGGCATTTGGGGAGTGAATCAGTAGTCAGAGATCTCTCTCTCGTTCTGTCTCTCCGTCTCTCTCTGATGTGTGTACATGTACGCCACTTCAAATAATTTCTTTTCCTTCCCTCCTCTCCTCTCAGCCTGGCCTGGGAGGGCAGGATCCTGGTGCTGGGATTTGCTGGAGGGAACATTGCTTCGTTGCCAACCAACCTTCTGCTCCTGAAGAACGTCTCGGCCATGGGCATGGCCTGGGACTCATACAAAGACCGCAACTTTCCCGTCTTCTATGGAAGCCTGGCCTCGGCTCTGCAGTACTGCCAGCAAGGCCGCCTGCGCCCGTACGTCGGGAGAGTGTTTAAGCTGGAGGAGGTGAGACGTGCGTGAGGGGTGGCGAGTGTGACACGGAATCTGTGAGGCGGGGTCTGGAGGCCTCAGGTCTCTTGTGTCACGAGCAGTTATGCTTCTGTAGAAGATAAGTGACGTGTGCTGCCATGAGCACGGCGAGCCTGAGAAGGGCGCGCTCGGCTTGACCTTTGCTCTTACGTACAGACACTTGCAAGCGCGGCCGGGTGATCTGAGCCGGAGTTCTGTGAGCGGAACACGAGAGCACGCCCGCCCCGCGTCCTGGGTCTGTCATTCATCCATTAGTCACTGTAGTTAATTTTGTTGGCTATTTACTCCCCCACAGTCTCATTAATGTGGCTTAAACTTCCTCCAGAGAGTAATTGCCTGCATGCATATGCAATATTCACTGTGAAGATTTTTTTTTTTCCTTTTGGCTTTAGTTGTTTTAATGTTCAAAAGCTCGCGTCAGCTGTGCAGGGCGGCGCTTTGGCGAGTGTGCAGATCACAGGGCCCACGCCGCTCGTGCACGTCGCTCCTCGTCCGGTTGTGTGTGTTTTCTCCCTGTGATGAGGCGCATTCTTTCCCAACGCAGTTTGCTTTGTTTCTCTGCTTTGTGGCCTGTGAGTTCCCAGGACGGTGATCTGGGGGAAGGAGGAGCTGGCTGGCCCCGAGGCTGGCTTCTGCAGAAGCCACCCCAGCTCTCTGCCGTCTCGTCCCACGCGTCTGCAGCGAAGGGCTCGGACCCGGTGGCGGCTGTCAGATGTGCCCAGGACCCAGGCCCTGCGGGGGGGCCAGGAGATACTCTGCAACCTCGCTTCTCCTCTGGCCTCGGGGGCTGCACCGTCTTTAATCTTCTGGTTCATGTAATCTCCTTTTTTTCTTTAAGATTTGTTTCATGCTTTTATTTATTATTATTTGACTTATTTTGAAAATTTTATTTTTATTGGAAAGGCAGGTTTACAGAGAGAACAATTTTCCATTCACTGGTTCACTCCCCATTTGTTATTTTAATTTTATTTCAAAGATAGAGAAATGGAGAGATGGAGATCTCCCACCTGCTGACCCACTCCCTGGATGCCTGCAGTAACAGGCACCGGGCCGGGCTCAGCTCCCTGGACTCCATCGGCTCTAGCACATGGGGAGCATGCATCAGTGCCCGCTGCCTCCCGAGTACGCGTGGGCAGGAATTGCACTGGCAGTGGGGTAGTAGAAACTCAGCCGGACACCGAAGAGTTGGTGTGCTGCCCCAGGCAGGGATCTAAGGCCGCCCGCCTCTCTCTCCTCTTTGACACCGATGAGCTGTGATTCTAACCTCTTGGCATCCTTTTAGAGAGGATTCTTTTCTAAAGATTTCTTTATTTTTATTTTTCTGGAAAGGCAGATTTACAGACAGAAGGAGAGGCACTCCCCAAACAGCCTCAGGGCTGGAGTTGAGCTAATCCAAAGCCTGGAGCCAGGGGCCTCTTCCAGGTCTCCCACATGGGTGCAGGGTCCCAAGGCTTTGGGCCGTCCTCAACTGCTTTCCCAGGCCACAGGCAGCTGGGATTCGAACTGGCATCCATTTGGAATGATGGCTTTGCAGGTGAAGTTTTAATGTGCTGGAAAGGAAGTGGAGCTGCTGGGATTAGAACTGGTACCCATATGGGATCCTAGGTGTGCAAAGTGAGGATTTAGCCATTAGGCTATTGCACCGGGCTGGTATGAAGCATTTTTATCACATTTTAGAGGAGAAGACATCAAGGCTTGTGGGGGCTAAAAAACCTGCCCCACGACATTGTATTAAGTGACAGGGCATTCAGTCCCTGTCATTTTGACACCAGAATCTGGGCTCTTTATGGCTGGCTGTGTGAAGTTTTGACCTAAGCAGAGCCAGGGTGACCGTGCCTTGAGAGCAGCTTTCTAGGGCACACCCCCAGTGAGATGCTGGCTCTCGGTTCCCCAGGGACGGCTGTGTGCCCTGCCCTGCGAGGCGCGGCCTCCTTGTGCCTACTAGGCGGGAGCTGTCGAGGCGCCAACTGAATGGAAGGCACCTGTTGGGGGCTCTGGGGTCCCCAGAAACTGGGGCTGCAGACTGGTGAGGAAGTCTAGCAGGGAGAACATGTTGTTGTGCAAAGTCGGAAATGAAAGCCTGGAGAGAAACGGTTGCCTTTTCTCTGCTTACTGGTCACTTCACTGTGCTGCTTTCTTGAAGCCCCAGGGAACCGACGGCAGCTGTGTCTGCACCCACGACCCGGTGCTCAACATGATACCTGTGGCTTTTCTCTCTCTCTCCGGTTCACTCCACTTTGCCTCTCATCTTCTCTCCCTCCATCCCCACTCCTGGGATTGTAACCCCAAGAGAAGCAATAGGATGTGAATTTTGATTAGGCTTAATTTGTTAAGATTCTCATACTGACACTTGACTTTTAAAATTTCTTCCTTTATGGCTGAACAAGTATTGCTTGACTTTTTATTTTTAGCTTTCAATAGGATTTTTTCTTAGATTTATTTATTTTTATTGCAGAGTCAGATATGTATACAGAGAGGAGGAGAGACAGAGAGAAACATCTTCCATCCAATGATTCACTCCCCAAGTGACCGCAACGGCTGGTGCTGTGCCAATCTGAAGCCAGGAGCCCAGATCCTTTTCTGGGTCTCCCACTGGTGCACGGCATAGAATCCCAGGATTCTTTTTTTTTCTTTTTTTTTTTTCCCCTGTTTATTTGAAACGCAGTTACTGAGAGAGGGAGACCGACAGACAGTGAAATATCTTCTATCTACTGGTTCACTTCCCAGATGGCAGACCTGGGCCAGGCCAAAGCCGGAAACCTAGAGCTTCTTCTGGGTCTCCCAAGGACCCAAGCACTTGGGCCATCTGCTTCTGCTTTCCCAGGTGCACCTGAGTCACAAGTGGAGCAGCTGGGATTCGAACTGGCATCCATTTGGAATGATGGTTTTGCAGGTGAAGTTTTAACGTGCAACACCACAGTACTGGCTCCACATTGCCTGACTATTAAAAAATGATTTGCTTAGAGGCAGAGGGACAGAAGTCAAGACAGAGGGCGGCACAGACAGAGAGCTCCCAGTGCTGGCTTACTCTCTGCTTGTGACACTCAGGGTTGGGGCAGACTGAAGCTGGGAGCTGAGAGTTCGACCAGACCTTCCACGGAGTTCGTGGGAGCACAGTCACTTGAGCTAACGCCACTCCGTGCCTGGAACAGTCAGTAGGAAGCTGGAAGCCAGGGTGGAGCTGGGAGCCCAAGCCAGACTCCATTGAGAGATGTGGTCAACTGCCCCATTTTCTGATTTTCCCTTCAAAGTCAAGTTTATCGAGATGTAATTTATATTTAGTGCAATGTACCCTTTGGAGGTACACTTGTCTGAGTTTTGGTAGACAATGTTTAGCCATATGACTCCTACAGGACAGTTGAGACCTAAGGACCTGTGTATGCCCCTGCCCTGTTCCTGCCTCTCTGGCCCTCGGCCTCTGCGTTACTCTGTCAGGTTAACGCTGCCTTTGTCCGTATATGGGATCTCACATCCTAAGGGTGACAGGTGCATGTACTCCTGGGAGAGGGGCAGCACCTCTCTCAGAGATTCAGAATTCTGGCTCGGTCTGTGCAGCCCATGATTTGGAAGGGAAGGCCACTTTATCCCATTCCCTTCAAAAACCACAGCTTTAATAGGTTTTCTGTCATTTTGAACTGGAAACGGTTATACACACATACGCATGTGCCCAGAGTCGAGGGTCTGTGTGAACAGTTTTGGGATTTAGGTAGTGCTGGTTTGCTACTATCTACTTAATTTTTAATGAATTGCCAGGCTGTTCTCCCAATGTGCCGCTCCTGCATTTGCAATATGTGAGAGTTCTAGTTGTTAGGACTCTGTTAGCTCTTAATATTGTCAGTTGTTTAATTTTAACCATTGCAGTAGGTGTGTGGTCGCATCAGGTTGTGGGCTTAACTTACCGTGAGTGTGTTTTCATCTGCGCATTGGCCATCTGTGTCGTTTGGGGGACTGCCTTTCTGAAGAAGGTGATGAGCAGTTGGCTCAGAGCTGTGCTATGATGCATGCGACTCGGTTACAGCAACAGATCACTACCTAGAGGTCCAGCTGTTTACAAAACAACCCCAGTCCACCGCAGATGTGTTCATTCACTAAGCATGTGCTGAGCACATTCTGTATACCAGCCAATAAAAAAGTAAGACCGAGTTCTGGCCTACGGAGTTTACTTTTCAGCTGAGAAGATCTCGGGATGGTGCTGTATGCGGAAGAGTCAGTTTCTAATGAGAAACATGAATCAGCATGCTATATTTAGGAAACTAAGTTATTTTAACTAGTACAGCTTGGTGAATTAATTAAGAATTCCAGGGGTGGGTGTTTGGCACAGTGGCTGAAATTGCTGCCTGATACATCTGAATGCCTGGTTTAAGTCCAGGTGACTGTTTCCAATCCAACTTCCTGTTCATGCACATGCAGGGGGCACGTGATGACGTGGGTCGGGTCCCTGCCACCTGTCCGTGAGACCCAGGTAGACTTCTAAGTGCCTGGCTTCTGCCTGGGACGGCCACGTCTGTTAGAGCATTTGGAACATGAACCTGTCCTTGGACGTCTCTGTCTCCGAGTGCCACCCTCTTCTGCTTCAACAAAAATGAAAATAAGATGATAAAAGATGCTTGCACTTCCAAGTGCATATATGTAACAAACGCCAGCAGCAGAGCCTGCACATCCTAAGACAGAAGCAATAGCTTTCCTCTGCTGTCTGTCTCCAGGGGCAGCTTCCATTCTAGCTTCACCTGGAGGCAGAGCATGAAGGTGCCGGGAGCAGTGACCGTGGGTCTGGGTGTCCTGGCAGCCTCCCCTGGGAGCAGAGCCCGAGGGTGGAGGGGCAGAGTGCACGCTCTCACCCACAGCAGGAGCTCCCTTTTTAAACTTCCCATCCTTGCTATCGCCGGGGATTTTCCCAGGCCGCAACGAAGCCAGCAGGTAGAAAGGGCCAGCGTTATTTTTAGAATCAGATGCAATCACAGCAGAGGTGGCAGGTGGAGCTGCGGGTAACAGGCTGTCTGCGAACAGAGGGGAGAGTCGGGGGCGTTTAGAGCGCTGCGGTTCTCAAGTCAGGGAACAAAAGCATCAGGCATTCCCCCTGGTGTTATTTGTAAGTAAGCCAGGTAAATATGTGACAAAAAATCATAGATTCACATGCAGAGTGGTTAAAAATAAGCTTTTCCATTTGACGGCACAGCTTTCTTTGTGTGGACATCTATTTGTAGGAGATTCTTCCTTTCCCTCGGATGTGAGCTGAACAACTCTCAGGAGCTCAAATAATACTCCTTTTCTCCAATGTGGCCCGTGGCGGAGCTCTGACAAATGTCCGGGGTGTGCAGCTTCTGACTGACAGCCAAATAAGGCAGCTGCAAGTCACCCTGTGCCCGGGCCGCTGGGGCCCTGTTGGTACCTCTGAGTCCCTTGCCACCCTGTGCCTGGGCCACTGGGGCCCTGTTGGTACCTCTGAGTCCCTCGCCACCGCGTTCCTGGGCCGCTGGGGCCCTGTTGGTACCTCTGAGTCCCTTGCCATCCCCACAGACCCAATCTAAGTGGCAGGTGATGAGGAAGGGCTACCAAAGGCAAAGGCTTCTGAACCACGGGGTTTCGCGTGAAGATCATCATTGATTTGCTTCTATTAATTTCTCCTGTGCTTTGTTGGGCACTGGCAAATGAAAGGGGCCAGATAATCGAAAGTTTGACTTCAAAGCTCGGTTTCATTGTTGGACCACATACAGTCCTTCTTGAGCCTTCATGTCTTTATAGATTTATTGAGTGTTTTTACGTTCATTTCCACTGCCTCTCTCTACTCTTTTTCTTCCTTTCAATGGCAGTTTCTGTAACATGTTTAATCCACATCTTTGGGTATACTTGCATGTGTGGGAAGCACACACACATACATATGTATTTTTTAATGTTCAAAATGAACATTTTTTTTAGGTTTTAATTTTTATTTGGTAGAGATCATTTTTATTAGGGACACTCAAAATCTATTTATTTTTAGTTAATACATAGTAATTGCACATATTTATGGGGACACTATGGTTTTCCATATATGTTTGCATATGTAATTCACATTAAGGGTAATTTTGACATCTGTCACCTTAGATGAATTGATGTCGATCCGTCATCGATACTATTTAAAGCCAATAGTTTACATTAAGTTTAGGGTTTTCCTGAATGCATTTTGTCATATGTCTGTCACTCAGTGTCATTCCACTCTCGAACAACCCCTGAGCATCACATTCTCACCCTCACGCCCACGCTGAATCGGTGGCACCTGCGGGTTGTTTTTGGTGTTCCTATAGTTTTGCCTTTTTTCAAAATGTTATAGGGTTGGAATCTTGTGGCACATTGCCTTTCAAGCCTGGCTTCTTACATTTAATAATGTCCATTCATATTTCCTCCATGTTTTTTTTCTTTGATTGAGATCTCATTTCTTTCTATAACTGATTATTTTTCCATTGCATTAGTATACTGGTGTTTATCTGTTCACCTATTGAGGAATGTTTTGGTTCCTCCCACGTTTTGGCAATTGTGAATAAAGCTGCAAAAAACATTCATGTGTAGGTTTTTGTGTGGATATAAATTTTCACTTTGGATAAATATCTGGGAGTGTGACTGCTGGTAAGGATATTTTCAGTTTTGTAAGAAGCTGCCATACTGTCTCCCAAAGTGGCTGTGTCATTCCAGGTCTCCACTCGCAGTGAACGGAATTCTTGTTCCACATTCTTTGATCCTTGTCTTCTGGATTTTAGGCACTCCTCTAGGTGTGTAGTGGTGTCTCATCTTCATTAGCGGTTTCCCGAAGATGTATCACAATGAGCATATTTCATTGCTTTTTTTTTTTTTAACATCTTTTATCTTTTTTTGGGTCAAATGTCTGATCAACCCTCTTGCTTGCTTTACAGTTGAGGTTTTTTAAATGGTTGAGTTATAGGATTTCTCCAGATGTGTTAATTCAAGATCTGTATCTGTTATGTGATTCCAGATTCTCCCCTCCCCACCCTGCCCCAGGTGGTGGCTTTGTTTTTCATCGTAACAGTATCTTCTGCTGAATAGAAGCAGGAGGATTCCATCTACTGGGTCATTTCCCACAGAGCCACAGTGGCCCTGGCCAAAGCCAGAAGATGGGTGGCAGAGGGTCAGGCACCAGGCCAGGAGCAGGGAGCTGGACTCTCACAGGCACTCATGGGATACTGGCCTCAGAGGCAATGGCTTAACCCACTGTGTCACAATGCCAGCCCCCAAGCTTTTTTTTTTTTATGAAGACTTATTTGTATTACTTTATTTCACTTGAAATTGAGAATTACAGAGAAGGAGAAACGGAAGGAAAGAAAGAGAGGCAGGCGAAGATCTTCCATTCATTGGTTCACTCTCCAAATGGTTGCTATGGCCAGAGCTGAGCCATGCAAAGCCGGGAATAAGGGGCTTCTTCTGGGTCTCCCACATGTGTCCAGGGACCCAAGGACTTGGGCCATCCTTTACTGCCTTCCCAGGGGCGTTAAGGAGCTGCATTGGAAGTGGGGCATCTGGGACATGAACTGGTGCCTATATGGGATTCTGGTAACATGAGGATGGGGGAAGGATTAGCCTGCTATACCACCATGTTGGCCTGGTCCCAGAGTTTTAAATTATGTTAATAATTTCCCTAGCCCTCAGCATGAATTGTTCTTAAATTAAAAAACTAATAATCAAGTTTACTATAACCTAGATTTTCTTCCTATGTTTTCTTTAAGGAGTTTTGCAATTTGGCATTTTTATTTAGATCTATGATCCATTTTGAGATAACTTTTCAGAAGGATGGCAACGGATTCGTAGATTCATTTGGTTTTTTTGCACACGGATATCTAGTTTTTCCAGGACCGTTTGTTAAGAAGACTACTGCCCCACCCCCACGAATTGCTTTTACTCCTTCGTCAAAGATCAGAGGACTAAATTGGTGTGGGTCTATTTTGATTTTTGGGTTTTCTGTTCTGTTCCATTGATGTATTTTGCTTTTTTTTTTTCACAATATCACACATCCTTGATGACTGTTGCTACTTTTAAACTTCTATTTTGTAAACTTGTTCTTAGGAAGAACAGTTTTGAGATAAAGTGATAGATTCCAATTCCAATATATGTGAAACTGAACAATTTTAATAAAAATGTGACTATATATATGTATACACACACACACACATACACACACACACACACACACACACACACACACGCACACTGATTCTTTTGCCGTAGCTCGGTTCTTTCAGAAGTGGGAACGGTTTTGAAGTGGAATGGCTGGCAGAGAATGATTAGAACACAGTAACAGTAGGCCCAGGGGCCTTTCACCTCCTGCTGCTTATGTGGCAACACTGGAAGTGATAGATTTAAATAGAAATACTGAGGTTGGGTTCTTGTAAAATGTTACTGCTCTCCTGTGTGGTGAGTTTTAGTTAGAACTGTGCGATTGATGAGATGTACTAGCGCTTTCACTGTTTGTCTGATTGAACCAGCAACAGATGTTTGCCGAAACAGTCTGATCACGTTGATTTGGAATTTTTTTTTTCAGGTCAATGACGCCTTTCTCCATGTGCTACAGCGCAAGTCCACAGGCAAGGTGCTCCTGTCTCTGAAATAGGTCCTTGGCCCTGCAACAAGCTCAGCACAACCCAAGCCAAACTCTCATCCCCCCCTCCAAAGCCTCCCCCTGTGTGTCGGAAGGAGTCCTCACCTTCCTCGCTGACTCAGGTTGATAATCCCGAGTCACCTCTGGCTCATAATTTGTGTGATTCTATGGCTTAGTCCAATGGACTTGGACCTTTGAGAGAGTGAGGGGTCGCTGCTCCTTAGACCAACAAAATGTGGTCCAGACAAGCGTGGGGTCCAGTCACCCTGTTTGTTATAATCCATCATTTGCCAAATTTTCTCATCTCCCCTCTAAGATGTCTGTCACCTGCAGAGCTGGTTTACCTGGTATCTCTGGCGACCTTCTAACTGTACTTCCCACCTGTGAACCCCCCACGTCCCCATCTCTGTGATCTCTTGGTGACATGGTGATTTCCTGGAAGCGTAGTTCTGACCGTGCCTCGCTCCACCTCCATGGTGTGAGCCACTCTCCATCGTGTCCCTGGTTCTTCCCCGGCTGATGGTCCCAGCATCCTGGATGTGCTCAGAGCTCTCCTGTACCCCTTATTTCCTCTGCGTGTGCAGTCCCTCTTGCCTTTCAGGCACAGGTGCTCCTAACCAGGAAGCCGCTCTACCACATGTCTTTGCTCTCAGGCAAGCAGTAACTTTTTCTCTCACTGCTCTGTTGCTCTTAGCTTCTCCCCCAGGATCTGCCACATGCAGCCTTGTACCATCAGGGCTTCTCACTCTGAGCTCCAGGTTTGATCCAAGCCTCTGCTTCATAGGTGGGTTTGGAGGTCTCTGCACCTTCATTTTCCCCACTGGGGTTGGTAGCAGCATCTGTCCCACAAGGTTGTGAGGCACTGACGCAGTGGTAGGAAGAGCCTGGCATGTGACAGGTGATGAGCAAGCAGAAGTGTTCACTGCTTTCTCTTTGTCCAGAGTGTCATCAGCTCCCTGTGAGCAGGTGCTGTATCCCACACACCTTTGTACTTCCCATAATATCCATCATGTGAGGTACTCTTGGTACTAGTCAACAGACTGAATTTCAATACAACAAGACATAAACTGTGGGGTTAAAGTGATAGTAAGTTGCCTGGAAATAACCCAAATGTGCACTGACAAGTGAATAAATAGACTCTGTAGGGTATGTATGCACGAGGAAATATTATTCATCCTGAAAAAGAAGTTAAATTCCGACACCTGTTCCATGGATGAACCTTGAAGATATGCTGCGTGCAATAACCAGGTATCAAATGACAAGTGGCCTCTGATTTCTCTTATGTGAGGTCCTTAGACTCATGAAATTCATAGAGATGGAAAAGGGAATAGTGGTGACTGGGGGAAAGGAGAAGGGAAAGGTATGGTTTAATTGTACAGAATTTCATTTCAGGAAGATGAAACACTTCGGAAATGGTTGGTGATGATAGTTTCAAAATAGTGCTTTACACAATGTCACTGAAATTTACGCTTACACATGATTAAGATGATACATTTTATGGTGCATATATTTTACCACAATAAAAAGTTTTAAAAGAATATATTATTCTCACTTATTAAAAGGATTATTGCTGTCAAAGTTCACATTAAAAATTTTTATTTCTTGAGAGGCAGAGAGAGAAATCTGTCACCCACCAGCTCAGCCACAAACTGTCCAAAACTGGCTGGGATTAGGCCATGCCAAAGCTGGGAGTGGGGGATCCAATCCAAGACTCACTAAGGTACCAGAACCCTGACCCTGAGCCTTCCCTGGGCCTGCTGGAGTGAGCCGTCACGGGAACCCTGAGCCTTGCCTGGAGCCTGCTGGAGTGAGCCATCACGGGAACCCTGAGCCTTCCCCGGGGCCTGCTGGAGTGAGCCGTCACGGGAATCTGGAGCCAGAACCAGAGCCAGGCTCTCCAATGTGACATGCAGGCACTTGTGTGATCTTCCTTCTGCTGGTTTGCTCCCCTGGTGAACACAGTAGTGAAGGCTGGACTAGGCCCAAATCAGGGGGCAGGAGCTTTATTCAGCTCTATCACACGGGTGCAGGGGCCCAAGGACCAGGGCCATTCTCCACTGTTTTCTCAGGAGCGTTAGCAGCGATACGGATTGGAAGTGGACTAGTACCTGTAGGATGCTGGCGTTGCAGGCAGGAGGCCACTGCATCAGCCCCTTGAAGGCATCTTCACAGCTAGGCTAAATGCCTACCCCCGTGCTCAGTGTTCAGTGAATTCATTCGGGCAACAGAGCGCATGTAGCTCAGGCTGAGGGCAGCTGCGATCTCTGCCCGTGTCCTGGTCTGTGGGGAGAGCGCCTATGTTTTTCTGATGCTAGATAATGCATTCTGTTCCACGTACTATTTGAGTGATGATTCTCAGAAATGGGCTGGGCTGGCGATGAAACAGACACGTGTGTCATGAGGGATGTGGGTACTATGGATACTGCTCTTGAAGGAATTTTAATTTTTATTTCTTGTAAAGAGTTATTGGAAGTTGTAATTACAGAGGCAGGGTGAGCAGAAAGAGAGACATGGAGGGGAGAGAGAAAGAAATCTCTCATCTGCTGGGTTGTTCCCTGAATGGCCTCAGTGGCTGGAGCTGAGCTCATATGGAGCTGGGAACCAGGAGTTTCTTCCAAATCTCTCACAGGTGTTCAGGGGCCCAAAGACTTGGGCTGTCCCCCACTGCTTTTCCCAGGTAACTAGGAGGAATCGGATCTGAAGTGGGGCAGCTGGGATGTGAGCTGGCGCCCATGTGGGATGCTGAGGACACAGGCAGAACGTTATCCTGCATGCTCCCACACTGACCTGGACATTTTATTTTTGAAAGGCAGAGAAAGGAGTGGGGATGAGGGAGAGAGAGCGAGAGAGAATCCTCTATCTGCTGGTTCATTCTCCAAATACTTGGAACAGCTGGAGCTGGAACAATGCAAAGCCGGGAAACTGGATTCCATCTGGTCTCCCCAGTGGGCGGCAGGGAGCCAAGCGCATGGGTCACCTGTAGTCTCTTTGGATGAGCATTAGCTCAAAGCTGAAGCAGAAGTAGATGAAGCAAGACTCAGAGCAGGCACTCCGGTGTGGATCATGGGGTCCCTGTCAGCGCCCTGACTGCTGTGCTGCATGCCCACCCATGATGTTTACCTCTTTTTTAAAAGATGCATTTATTTTTATTGGAAAGGCAGACTGACAGAGAGAAAGATCTTCCATCCACTGGTTCACTGCCCAAATGGCTACGAGACTGGAGGCCATTTATCTTCTCAGACTCTCCCCACCAAAGATTTTTTTTTTTAAGAATAGATGTAATCTGTGGATGGGCACTTGGGGAGAGAACTTGAAATGGAGACTACAGCTGCAGGAGGAGGCTGGGAACACCTGTAGGCCCTGCAGGGATCTGCCAGGGCCATGCTCATGCTGCTGCCCACTGCTGCCTCCGTCAGCTCTCTCCGGATTGGGAGTCTCATGCCGTGAGGCCATTTGAAGAAAAGTCCCTGCTCGTCTCCCTTGCCTCATTTGAATATGAGTTATGTTTATGTTTGCGTGAACGTTGATTTTCACAAATATCAGGGAAGTCAATGTGGAAGTTAATGATCCCCTTCGATTGTCCTGAAGACCCTCTGGAAAGACCGTGGCGAGCAGAGAGGAGGCTTGGAGTTGGAGACAGCGCCACCCTGACCAGGGCTGCCTACCCCATTGCCACTGCTCAGAGCTGCTCGGTAGTCACTGTACAACAAGATCAGCGGATCACGGGCATGCCAGGGGCTGTGGCTGGAGCGAGTTTGTCCAGACGGAAGAGTGCTGGTCAGAGGCCCTGTGGCTTGCTCTCGGCTTGCTGTGTTTCTGTCCCATGGCAGTGATTTGACTCTGAAACCTATGAGAGTTCAGTCGTTTGCTGTTCTGCCATCTGAACCACGAGTTGCTCTGAAGAAGAATCTGTGGCTCCTGGCGACAGTGCTTCTTCTGTAGCCAGAGGCTTCTCCAGCTTTTGTGGTGGGCTGCTTGCTGGAGACTGCTCCCACACGCCTACCTCTCTTTCTTCAGGAGCATGGCTCTGTCCACCTGCCCAAGCTTCTAGCAACAGCCAGGTGGTTTGCGCTGGCCAGAGAGGGCTACCCTCCACAGCCATCTGCATCTTTGTCCCCCCTGCTCCCTCTGGGATCTGAATTCGTTTAGAAAACCTTTTTTTTTTTTTTTTAAATCTGAGCTGCAGTTAAGACAATAAAAGTTGTATTATTTGACAAACGAAGGGGGGTAGAGGCGTTTCTATGTTGTTGCTTAAACACAAAATCTAAGTAAACTAAAAAAAGGCTTTGTGCTTTCTTTGATTTTTCCTTTTAATCATAAAAGGGGATCAAAGAGCAGTGTTCTGTCAAGATCATTTTTTGTCCGTGAAAGTCGCGGAAGGGAAGATCTAATTGTTGGTGTCTCTGACAGCGATGGTGCTGGACTGGAAATGTGTTACTTTCCGGAACTTGCTCATGGTTGAGGAGTCGTGCACAAAATGGCTGTGGTGTTCTCCTCTTGGCCTGTTTAGAAATGAACTTCTTCAATGCTTTAATAATGGTAGAATAATTCAGCACTGCCACCTGATCATTGAGGAAGTCCAGCTTCCCAGGGATTCATCGGTACAAATTGTTAACTCACCTTGCTCTATCTTGTTGCATCTCATTATCCAGGGAACCTGTGCTAGGCAGTTTGGTGTTGTTCTTTCAGACCTTTTAAAAGCACATACACACAATACTTTAACAATGTGTATATATGTGCCAAGTACATAATATTTGAAAAATGTTATGCATACTCTTCTGTAGCGTGTTGTTTCTCTTTTAAATTGAGAGACAGAGAAAGAGACAAACGTAGGAAGGGCTCCCACTCCCCGTGGCTTACTCCCCAAATGTCCACAACAGCTAAAACTGGGCCAGTCTCTGCTGATGTCCTGCACGGCTGGTGGGGCTGCAGATGCTTGAGCCCGCACTGGCTTCCTTCTTGGAACTGCACTCGTGGGATCCTGGGAGCAGAGCCAGGATTCACTCGTGGGAACCTGGGAGCAGAGCCAGGATTCACACGCCGCTGCTTGGACACTGGATGCCACCATCCCAACTGGCACCTGACTACCAGGCTAACTGCCCATTCCTAAAGTGTGCTGCTTTTGACCAAAAATCTATCCAGGATCTCGTACATATTAGTAAATGTTGAGTTTTCTCATTCACTTTGTTAGCTGCTTAATATTCCATAGTGATTGTGCGTGTCGTGTCAGCATTTTTTTCTTTCTTTATTTTTAATTATTAATTGTTTTAATTTTTGATAATTTTTACTTAGTTAATTAGGGTGGCTAGGGTCAAGGGCTACAGGAAGGTGGGTGAGATCACCATTTCCACATTCTCTTTTCCTTCCTGTATTTGGGTAAGGGGGGAGAAAAGGGGAGCAGCTATACTCAGCCTTCCAAATGCCTCTGCGCCTTGGGATGGAGGAGAGCCAGTTGACACCACCCTGGCATCCCTGCTGTGGGGCATGCTCAAGAGGTTTCGATAGTTCAACAGTTCCAAATTACTGCCAATCTCACCATTCCAAGCATGACGAAATGTCTTCAGAATCTACCAGTTGACATAGTCCACCTTAGAGTCTCTGTTTGCCCAGATATTCACTGCCAACACTTGGTTGATCAGTTTGTTCCGTCTTCTGTTATGGTACCAGGTATCCTCTGCATGTTCTAATGTACTGCCACATCCTCCATGAGTAACTAGATATGCTGCCCACTATTCCATCTAAGCCACTGAGCAATCCCAGCTCTGACACATGCATTCCATGGTCAGACATGTAACCTGCAATTCTCTCCATGGTTGGGGTACTGAGTCCAGCGATTCAGTTGTGGGGATCTCCATAGAAACTTTGTCTGAGGTGATCCCAGAACTGATTTTTGTGTGTGCATGACAATAAAAGGTCCAGTACAGTCTGTCATCCCAATCAGCTTGTGCACGTGCTGATTGTTGCAATTGCTGGGTCTCTCCCCTCTGAACACCAGGTCTCAGTCCCTTCACTTATGTGTCATTTGCGTGTCCCCCAGGATTCATTCCTCACATACATGTACTGTGGCCTTATCCATGGATGCCCTTAGGCAGTAATTCCAGACCCCCCAAGACACAAAAGCTCACAGCTGGGCAACCAGTGGGCAAAGCCTGGCTCCGTTGTTGCTCTGGCTGCCCGCAAACCCAGGATTTGCACACTGCTTGGCAGCTGTGGACAGGGAGCTAGCATCCCCAGCAGGAAGCCTGGCCTGGCATGAGTTCTTCCAGTCACAGCCACGTGGCTGGGAGATTCAGACACCTGCACATCTGAACAGACTTACCTGGACTCCGCCCACTAACACGGCCTCAGCGTTTTTCTTGTTAGTGGGCTTATGCATGCGGACAGCTACTGATGTGTCTCTTTATCCCAAGCCCAGCACAGCACAGGGGGTTCAATGCTGACCAGAAACTTAGAAATCCATTGGGGAAGGCAGA